TATTGCTTAGTGGTCAACTGTGTCTTCTGGGCTTGGAAATGACTTCAACTTTGGCTTCTTCTTTTTGTCTTCTTTGTCTATGACTGTTTTTCTGCAGAACCTCTCTCTCCTTCCTACTCACTCTTTCCACTCACAGATCAGTCTAAATTCTCTGACTCAGGTCCCACACCCCTCCTCCCAAAGATTATAAGGGCTTTTCCTTCCACCCATCTGACTGCCCCAATCCTCAACTACCAATCAAAAGTGAAAGGCATGGGCATCACTAGGGGACTGGACAGAAATGTGAAATCTCTGCCCCACCCCCACCACCAGACCTACTGAGTCAGAATCTTCATTTTAACAACAGCTCAGTTTGAGAAGCTGCAAGAGAAGATCTCTACCTCTGTCTTCGGAGTAGAACAAAGAAGATAGTGATAGGAACAATTTATTCCTATTTGTCCCTCCTCCCTTTCCCCTCACTCTAGGGTAGAAATCACTCTGAGGCCCATCTTGAGTGGAACTGAAAGTATTTCACAATTTACATTCCAAGTTCCTCACCAACCACTGGCTTACATGACATCACTCAGAGCTACACAGCAAATTCCCTCTCTGACAATGTGGGGAACATTTAGCTCAAGGTCTATTTTTCCTAAGTGGCTTTAGGCCTCCCCTATTATGACTCCACACCTTAGGTCACCCAGTTACTGGACTCATTGAGACTCCACTGGTGGTTAAGCATTGAGATTCTCTCCCTTGACCAGCATCTAGGTAACAGAAAAGGTCTGGGTCTAGTTATCACTAATTGCTATGATGATGTCAGGAGCTAGGCACACAAGAATCCATCTAGACACCTCCCTGATCAAGTAGAGAAGTTTGTTTCAAAGGATACTTGAGGACTTTCTTAACAATATAATGTTTAAAAGTTACACAAAACTGTAGTGTTATGACCTTGTGAGGTCTCCGACCATACCTGGGACTTTAGTCTTTCCAGGCCACTACCCCAAATGCATGTCTTATACATTCAAGGTCCATCTTCTTCTCATGTTACTATACTTATTTATACTCATAAATTTTTCTTCTTTTACTAAACTTCCTCCAAAGCTTTACCAAGCCCCCTGGAAATCTCATTCCATTGTAATAAACTCCTCTACATCTTCAATCTCTTCATCAAATATTTCCCCCAAGGTTGTGCTTTCATTGGAATCTGGCCTACCTGAAGGCCACCCTTTGTCCCCAGCTACTGCTTGTTTTAGCACACTTTGAGAGGACCTTGAGGAACACCCTTCCCCTTTTGAGGTGTTCACCTCTCTCACTGCTGTTACTACTAATCACTTGTCATTACTTCTTTGCTCACTGAGGATTTTGGCAGTAGATGCAAGATCCTTCTTTCCAACCAGTTATTACTATCAATTTGAATGATTTCAGTATGGATAAGTTCACCAACAACCTTGCTTCAAGTTTCTTTGGTCTTTTCCACTTCAAAGATCTTCATCCACAGGCTATTTCAGCAGCACCTCTCCCATGACATAACCCTGAACCTTTTCACCAAGAACATCTCTGCTCCTAGAATCCTAAACCTCAATGTAATTATCTCTGTCCACAATATATCTTCCTCCAACATTTGCTCCTGACTACTCCACCTAAGTTTGTTCTCTGACTTCATCAAGACCTCAGCTCTATCCAGTTTAGACCCTGTAGTGTGGTGCTTACCAAAGACCTCTCTACAATGATAGAAATGTTCTATATTTGTGCTGACCAACGTGACAGTCACCAGCCACTATAGCCATTGAGCACTTGATATGTAGCTAGTGTGACTGAGAAAATGAATTTTTAATCTTATTTAATTTTAATTAATTTAGTATTTTTTATTATTATTTTAGAGAGAAAGAGGAGCTCATGTGGAGCAGGGGAGAGAGGTGGAGGGAGAGAGAGAGAATCTCAAGCAGTCTCCTACTACGCAGTGCAGAGCCTGATGTGGGGCTTGATCCCATGACACTGGGATCATGATCTGACCCAAAATCAAGAGTCAGATGCTTAGCTGACTGAACCACCCAGGTGTCCCTAATTTTAATTAATTTAAATATAAATAGCCGTATATGGCTAGCGGCTATCATATTAGATGATAGTATATCTTTCCAATCATTCTTTTGCCAATAAACTTGCCCCGCTGTACAGAATTCATCCTAAGAACATTTAATTTTTGATCTACATACCTGTTCTTACAACTAAATAATTAAGCAGTGCCAGGGAAATTACTCAATTATTCAGACTGATGACATTACAAATCTGTAGTCTCCCGTCTCACTTAATTTGTTCTCTGGGCTGATTACCCTACTTACTCTCCCTCATAGCAGTTACTTCAGCAGTTTCCTTCGCTACTGCTTTTAGTTTCTTTTTCTCTTATAGTCAAACTCTCTGAAAGAGTAAGCAGCAATTGCTGCCTCCACCCCCAGGCTC